CATGAGAAGCGTCTGATGTAATGAGGAAGGTATGTAATCGTTAGCATGGATCCAATCTTAACTTAAGAGGGCCTGATACTATACTGTGGTACTAATCACGAAAAAGGCCATCAGTAAGGGTTTGGTCCTGAGGTCAACCTGCAAGGGTAGTATGCCGAGGACCTTAGAGGCGATCCTAATAAATTCTACTATGGACACCTTAGTTGGCATTAGGTCATGCTCTTCTTGCCCCATCTTGAGCATCATACGATAGTATGTTCACTGTCGAGCCATTATCCACGAGGACCCTAGTCAACAACCTACCATCAAAATGTGCATTAAGATATAAAGACTTCAGGTGTTGGGTCATCTTAATGCTTTATTTTTCCAGGACGGCTCGCTTTGGCTTTCCTTTTACAACTTGTAGGGTGACTTGGCAGATGGGTTTCGCAACTTTCTCTTTCTTCTCCTACATCCTTATTGGTTCATACTCCTCTTCCTCTTTCATCTTCATTGGGCAATATTAATACGGGCTTGTATATGCTAGCCCTGAAAAGTTCTGTTCATGTTGGTCTTGAACCCTACTTGTGGTAGACCAGAACTAAGAAGGGAGCATTGATGAAACCACGCAACAGAGGTTGAGAGCTATTTTCCTAATATGAATGGTCCCATCACACTAATTTTTGTTCTCATTCTCTTCGTCTTAATCTTTGGTGGACTTCTCTCTAAACTTGTTTGCTTTCTGTTAAACGTTGGGGCCTTCCTGTACCTCAATTTTCTACTGCTCGAGGTATCTCTGTGCAGCCTACTTTTATTAAAGGCATCATTTGAGTCTTATTTAAGGTAGTTAAGAACTTCTTGTGCCTCAGACTCTCCATTTCAGAGGCAGTACATTGCCAGGTAGCGTAACAAACTTGCCCAAGCCCTTAGTGACTTTTAGTTTTGAAAGAAGCTTTGTATTGCTTTCTGATATCATTAATGGTAGTAAAGGTAGGTCATCAGGGCTTACATCTTAACCTGTCGATGTCCCCATGAATGGTTCACTTGCTCCTAGGGGCGCTGAATATTTCACAAAGAAGTTGAATTTGCCAAATAGCTCCTCTAGATAATCCTAGACCACCTTAGATCCATCTAACTTTGTCATTATCAATCCCCCCAGGCTAACATCCCACCCCGAGGGTCTTTTGCTATTTTTTGGTACATTCTGGTTGTCCATGTTTTAGGTTTCTCCTAGGCGGTCCCAAACCACCTTAGAGTTATCTAGGTTCTTGACATTCTGCCCTTCCGAGGTAAGACCAACTTGTAGGTTTCCCCAGGCTGTCCCACACTATCTTAGAGTTTTCTGAGTCACTTCCTCCCTGTTCTAGACGTTCCAGGGTCTCCCACCTCTCTATTTACTATCATTTCTCTTGGGTTATCATTTTCCAGAGTTTATCTCCACCATATTGACTGTGGCAAATGGTGGGAACAGGTCCTCATTTACGATCATGAATTCTTCCTTAGAAAACTTCAGAACTCCCTTGTTGATTTGGTTTTGGATGACATTCTTGAACCCCCAACACGCCTTAGTATTGTGACTCCACGAGTGATAGTACTTACAGTATTCCTTCCCTCTTTGTTCTTCCTTCGAAGGGTTTTTATGATCAACTGGCAAGGAGATAAAGTTATCTTTAAGAAGGAAATCAAAGATTTCCTCTGTTTTGGTGGTATCAAAAGTGTATTGGATTGCATTCGGCCTTTTGAGAATCTCTCTGGCCTTCCTTATCAACGCTAGGCATGTGTAGTTGTCAGCATTTTTTAGTTCTACCACCGCCACGTCAAAGTCCCCAAAATAGGTTCCTACTGTAGTATGTTAGCGATGGTTCTCTTCTTTGAGCAGTTCCTCGTATCCCCATACTTTAGCCGTGAGTTCATAGAAATCATGAAATTCTATCCCCTGGAATTTCTTTCAAAGCTATATATCCAATCCTGCTTGTGCCAGCTTGATAGATTCAGTTTCAGGGAACGGCATATGGTACCTGCTCCTTAATTGTTTAAACCTTACTAGGTATTCGTCCGCCGTCCCTCCAGCCCATTAGGTGAGCTTGTAGAGTTCTGCTATGCTAACCTCTGGCTTTACTTTGTAGAACTGGATATGGAACTTCTGCTCCATTTCCATCCAACTGATGATTGAGTTATGGGGCAATAAAGTATACTATGTGAACACTGGGCCCGTGAGAGTGTTTGGGAATAATCTCAATTTTAAGTTGGCGAAGTTCTCATAGTTGAAAATCTCCCCATATTAGATTATGAACCTTCCAATATGCTCCAATGTCGATTGCATTCCATCACTTGAGAACAGCATGAAGTCAAAGATTCTATATCCTTGAGGGTATGGGTTGTCCCTATCTATGTACTCTAGATATGGCTTCGAGAAGGTGGGGTGACCAATTGGCCTCAACCCTGGTCCGTATATATCTTGGATGGCATCCTTTAGGGCCTCCATATTTACCAGCTGATTTTAATGCTTGTTCTGACGCTCCAGGATCATTACCATGCCCCTCGGGCCACTCATACCGGGCTCCTATAAATAATATAAAGGATTACTCAAAGGATTAGTGTGAGAAAATATTTGGGGGTTAAGAATGTTCTTTACAAGTAGGCGGCCCTTATGGCCAGCACCTATATTGATTCCTACTTGTTGCCCTCCAAGCGGCCCTAAACTTGAGCCTCCTTCTAAAGGAGTGTTTCTCAATGATGTGGCTATATTTTTCATGCCGTCATGCAGAACTTGCATCATGATCTACTGTCATTCCTTCTCCTTGCGTTCTAACGTTTTCAAGGATAGTGGAAAGAACCTTTAGTTCTCTTCCTACTGCTTATCCATTCGATCTTGAATTCCCTGCAGTATTTTGCCACAGGACTGTTGGATATGATCAGCGGGTTAGGTTGTCCACTTCCTAGCTTTGAGCCAGGGCTTGTGCTACTGCTACTTGTCGATCATCAATCCTTTTGTCTTTTCGCATCCTTGCCATCTTTGTTACACAAGTCCTACCGACCGTGTCAAAAAATTGTTCATGGGTGAATAACAAATATCATACATGCTAGAGATGTTAAGTCTCAATTGATAACAAAAAGGATCCCGAGTTCCCTTACCACAATTCACTCAAATGTAAAAAGATATAAGGTTTTAGTAGATCAAGTGTTTGATTTTATTAAAATGTGAAACAATTACACGTCTAAACTGAACGGTTAACTGATAAACTAAGAGACTAAAAAGTGAAAAATGTGAGTTTTGGTTGAGTGTTGACTAGTTTCTTTTGTGTCTTCGTCCTCTATTTATAGTGTCAGAATAGTGGTAGCCCCTTCCTTAAGACTTAGCACTTTTTGCCGAGGAATCAGCGATCTTGTGAAACCCATGACAAGATCTTTATTTTATACTCTCCATTTTAGTAATTAGCCTATTTTGTCGAGATACTTGGGCATGAAGTCTGTAGGTTTCGACATTACTTGGGACATTTTGGTAATTAGCCCGTTATGTCGAGATACTTAAGCGTGAAGTTCGTAGGTTTCAGCATTACTTGAGATCGTGTCCTTTTGTGCCAATGGTCTAATGTTTGCAGTTGACGGGATTTCGGCATGTTTATTTATTATAGCCTTTATCGAGCATTGGGGCCAGCCCCTTTTGTTTATATTAGGCCTGACGTTTCAGTTACTTAGCCCAACTAGCCCTATAACCTATTTGAGCAGCATTTCATATTTTGGCCCAAACATAAAGGTTCCAAGTTACATTAATCTACTTCGGTATATATTGGAGGCTCATTGAGGATTGTGACATGTTTTGTTATCTAGGTGTTTAGATATTGACAAGATGTTCCAAGTGGCTTTCTTCTAGGTCATCATTTATTCAAAATCTTTGGCTTGTGGAAATCTACATATGATACTGATAGGGAGAATTTCAATAAGGAACTCTTGGCTAAATTTATTTATATTCAAAATCTAAGTTTTTGAAATTTCATTGTAGTCTAGGAGTATTGATTTGATATTTTGAATGAAATGACAAAATTGCCCTCCTCTAAATTAATATCAAGACTTTTTTACTTTACTTGTTAATTGTTCTACTTCACTTGTTCATTTACTTACGAAATATTATTAGTTGCCCTACTTAACTTGTCTCCATTTTAGATGTTTAAATCATCTTAAGAAAATTTATTGACTCCCATATTGTAAATTGTTCATTTACTCATGGACTATTACTAATTATCCTACTTTACTTGTTCATTGCTAAACTTTCACTTGATTTCATTTCAAAAAAATAAACAAATGAAATAGGGTAATTAACAACATTTGGTAAGTAAATGAACAAATAAAATATGACAGTCCTAATATCAATTTAAATAAAGGGCAATTTTATCATTTTTTTAAATTTAATATCAAATTAATATTCTTGAACTATAATAAAATTTCAAAATTTAAGAACTTTGAATATAAACTCCAACTTGTTATTTTTTTTTTTAGAATAAGTTGAAATTTTATTGACCTATAATAATTAGAGATTAATTTGTCAAAATTCGCATATATTGTTATCAATTGCAAAACTTTTACTTATTAATTTTTTAAGGTAATTGGAATTTTATTTTAAAAATGTAACCCAATCTAATCAAAGATGGACTTATTAATTGCATAACTTGTTAATTTTTGAGTTGAAATTTTCACTAAACGATGACCTGGAAGAAAATACTTGTCACAGTTCGAATATCTTCTTGTTAATATTTGATCACGAAGTTGTAAATTACAAAACAACATCTTGCATTTCAGCATTTGCACAAAGGATATTTTAGAGAATGTCAGTTATTCATTCACGAATATTTAAGTAAAAATGTTCTTTAATCCTTTTTTTTTTTTTCACTTCAACATGCAGCCAAACGAATCTCTCTCTTCCCCTCTTCCTCCAGTCAATGATCAAATTAGCCTGAAATGACATTGCAACAATTGAGTATTGTTTCAACAAAATAGTTCCGTGGGTTAACAAAATAACTTGGGCAAAAATGAGCTTTTATTGGTCAAATAAAAATCTTTCAAGGGATTCAAATTTCAGGATCCTTCTCAACTCTCAAGTCCCTCCCGTTCAGGACTTCAAGCCCCTCTCATAAAAATGAGATAGAGTTTGATCGTAGTCAAATAATAAGAATGAAGGGTAGCTCGAGGGTATCTGGGCGCAATTGAGAGGAGAGGAAAAAAGGGTTTGAGGGTCGGAGTGTTCGATGACAAACGGAGATAAAGAAAGTGACTGAGTAAGATGAAACAGGGGGCAAACAGGAAGCAGAGTGTGAGGTGAAGCCTGTTCGGGGAAGAATATAAAGGTAAAAAACTCACTGAAATTTTGTTCTCTTCTGGTTTATCATAAATCTTCTGAATCAATCAATGTGTTCCATTCACGTTATTGCCATAATTTTAGTGAGCCTTAGCCATTCTTCTTGTTGTTCATTATGCCCTGTGTAAAAGCTCCAAGAAATTTGGGAGCTCCATGCCTTTGGAAGTTTTACTGTTTAAGATCATGATTGGGTTTGATTAATATGATGCATTCTAGGCTTTTTGTTTAAGATGATATTCTTTTTTGTTTATTATTGTAAATGCAAGTGAGATGATGCTTCAAATTCTCTTTGCTGAAGCGTCAAGATTCAAGATTTTTCATTGCTTCCTCTTCTGACTTACTGTATTCAATTTCATTGGCATAACAGTCACAAGACTCTTTAACACGGATGGTATGATGCCTTCTTTAGGCAAGCTCTATAAAAACATTAAAATCTGATATTATTTGTTGAGTTTACATCAAAACTAAGATATTTTACTGAAACTAATTGATGGCCAACCAAAACCATCATTTATAGGGAGAAGATTTATAGATTGGAGTGATTAGTTTCAATAAAACTTTATTGTATTCTTCTGAATTCAACCAGTAATTATTACTGGCGTTCTCAATGCTTTAAAAGAGTTTGCCTAAGTGACCTAACATGCTTCTTGATTAAAGGTCTTGAGTCCCTGGATCTTTTGATGGGGAGAACTCCTTTGTTTCAGTCAGAAGCTTCAAGCTCATTTTCGTTACTGATATAATGCCATCATAGCAAATCACGACTCTCCTTTTTTTTTTTTCTTGTTCCTGTAGCTCAAAAAGTCCATTATCTTGTTCTGGAAGTCTGTTCATATTCTGATGTTGATTATTCTCCATCAAATCCTGTGAATATAATCTCTCAAACATATATAGTCCCTTTATAGGATTCCACTAGATACCGTTTAAGATTAATGAACTAGAGAACTCATGTTTGCATGTTTCAGTTTCCCCTATTTTATTTTCATTTTTTTCTCTGTCAGGTCCATAATAGATCCTATGAGTTCTATATTGAGCCGTGTCTTGTGTTTTTCTTTTTGATTGTTGTACTATGTCTGTCTGTTTATATGTGACATCAGTATATGTCCAAGCTCCTAATTTGTCTAGCCATCTAGAATAATTGGGTTTTATGTAATTCCACTTTATTTTTGATTTATTTGATCTAATTTTTTAAAAATTGAGAACTCCCTCTACCTACTATCAAAGAGAGATTTTTTGTTTTGGTTAATGTCCTTTGTTTTTGACTTTTTGTATATCCCTTTGTTACTGAAAGGGGGGGGAGAGAGAGACTTAAATCATCATATCAATCCAACGGCAAAAAATTTGATTAGAATATGATAATTCTAACAATTGTACTGTTTATAAATTGTGAATAGTTACATAGGACTTACATCTGGTTACAAAACAAAAAGAAAAAAAAATGGCCTTCTTATGCAATTCTCAGGCTATTAATTCCATTCGTGGTAAGTTAAAGAGAAATTCTTTTTAAGACACTGGTGATTTATTCCACCATGAAGAAAGATGTGGCTCACCTGATATTCAATGAATCAAAATTTTGTGCATCTCGGTAGTATGTGAATGATGATAACTCTTAGAGATAAATATTATATGGGAAAAGAAAGGTGGTGGAAAGGGGCACAAGTATTAATTAAGAGTTGCATGATACTTTAATGTGAAGATTAGATTTTCATATGTTGCCTTATCTCGGTATATTGATGCAGCTTTTTTCACTTGGTTTTTGTTCTTTAGTGGGTTCATGTTCCTTTATCTTAAGGTTCTCAGATGACCTGGTTCTTAGGCTGTTATCTTCATATAGCTTGATTTAACGTTATGCCACATGTTTAAATTTTCATGCTTTCTACTGTTTGAGCAAATAGAAATCAGAAAAATGGAGGCCCCAAATCAATAGAAATTGGCGTGCACAGATAGACGTAGTTACATATAAGCATCACATATTTTATCATACAACAACAATAACAACAACAAACAAGCCTTATCCCACTATATGTGCATATTGTAAAGAAAAGAGTCATTATCCTCTGTCAATTAATAGTGATCGCCACAATATTTCAATTGGATTAATTGTGTAAACTATACCACTATGACTGATAGATTTTATATGATTTCATTATTTGGATATGTTATCTAGGCTAGTGTATGTGTTGTGATTTGCAAAGAAGAAAGAATATTGTGGCGGCCGTGGTGCAATGTGTAGGATATTTTTTCTCTCTTCCTTCATGATGTAATAAACATTGAACTTGTATAACGAGACAAAGGATGTAGGCATTCAGCAATAGGAAACAAGACAAGGCAAAGGAAATTATATTTGTATCTTGATCTTTATTATTATTATTATTATTTTTTTTTGCGACATATCTTGATCTTTCTATTCTATTCTGTTTTGAAATATGATTCTTTTTAAATGCAACAATTATATTTGTCTAGGTTCTTTATTCTCTCATGGTAGGGTTTCTCACAACTTTGATAATCTTGTTATATTGATTGAGGCCATTGTGACTGTACTCTCTTAGGCAAGCCTTTGTTATTGAATTTCTTAATGTGTCTGTACCTTCGTTGACTGAACCTTTTAGGATTGTAGACTGGAATGCAATCTTGTTATATCATTATTTATTTCCTAATTTGAGATTCCATTGTCTTTTGGTTTCAAGATGTATAAGAGGGCTTCATTCCTCTAAATGGAAACGATCTAGAATTGAATTCTTGGTGGAGAGATATGGCTTTTGTTTGTAACTCATACTTTGAACTGTACATTAAGCTTTTAACTATTCTTGCTAGTTTCATTATTCTCCTCCACTTGAATGGAGGATTAAATTGTAGGATCTGCCCACGGTTCTGATTATTAATCAATTGTTGCTGTTGAAAAATATATTTCATAGAAGTTTGGATACTCCCTGCATCTGCATCTTTCTTAAAGTGATATTTTTGTAGGACAATTGAGAAATTTGGTGAGGTCTATAGGCAGGAAAGAAATTAAGAGGAAATCTTTATTTTATATTACAGGTGGATTGTTTTATTTTCTTTAGCTGTTTGCTCATCTAGAGGACTGTCTTTTCATTGTTTATAAGAATTGATATAAAATATCAGTATTTCATGGGAAAGCTAGTGTTAAACACAAAATTAACACCCATAACTGTAATGACCTAAAATTTTAAAATTAAATAAATTCTTTCCCACTTAATATTTTATTTATTTATGTTAATTTTAGGACAAATGAGGAGTAGTAATTTAATAGAATTTATACTAGTTATTTATATGGAGAGTTAGAATACAAATCTGATGAAAGTGCTAAAGTGTTAGTTGAATTCAAATGTTAGTTCTATTTTTTTTATGGTGAAAGTGCTAAAGTGCCTTTACCTTTTTTTTTTTAATAAAATATATTATTAATAATAATGTATAAAATCTGATGGGGTCTTTGTTTGTAAATTTTCCACCAACTTTTTATTTTATTTTCTCCCTTCTCCTTTTGTCGGTGAGACTGTAATGGGTCCTTGTTTGTAATTTTCCCACCAACCTTTATATTTTATTTTCTCCCTTCTCCTTTTTGTCGGTGAGCTACAGATCAAAGAGAGCTTGCGTGATTCTTCTTCTTCTTCATCGTTCACTCCTCCGTTTTCTTCTTCCTTCTCTATCTACCTCTCATCACCGGTGTTAGTGCTTAGGAATGCCGAATTCCGCCACTGCTCTGCCTTTTATTATCTGAACAGAGGCCCATTCATCATCCCCTGCCCTGTGCTCACCGTGAACTTGCCATTTTTTGAGGAATAAGTCGTGATTCATGTTGTAGCATGGGTGCTCAAAACTTTTCTCTTTCCTTGCGTTTGCTGTCGCTCTCACTGTTTGGTGTGGCTGTAGGTGCTATATTCGGATGTGTGGAGGAAAAGAATCTTGATATGAATTGAAGAAACAAAACATTTGGAATTTGGGAATCTGATGGGAAAGTGAATAGCACCCCATTATTTTTTTTAATAATAGTTTATTTTTGAAAATATTACATTTTCATATAAATTATTTTAACAACTATGATGATTATTATATATTTTGTTAATTAAATCATTTTGATTTTGAAAATTATAGAATGATGATTAAAGTTAATTAAATTATGGTATATGCATGTATTTTCTTTACGAAATATATCTTCAAGATTGACGAAGGCATCTTTGTTTATTTTACTTTAGAAATTCTTGATTACTCAACTAATACAAGCTTGTACATTAGCTATGAAATATTATTCTAGCAAGATTTGAGATTTAAAATGATTCATGCGAGTTTGATATTGAGAACGCAAATTATATTTCAGAAATGATTCTTATCGCATGTTTGAAAAGTGATTTTTAGAGGACTTTATACAGAATATTGGTTGCTAACAGCAATCTCGTTAGCCCTTGACGCCCCGTGGTCAATGGTTAGCTAGTTTGATTTTCGTGAGCTTTGTTCTCATGTTTGTTATTCGTGGGTTTCGTATCCATGTTTGTTTTCGTGGCTTTAAGCCACACTTGGTTATCATTACCCTTGTGGACTGTGTGTCCACATTTGTTTCGTGGTTTCAACTACGTTTGGTTACTTGTCCTCGTGAACTGTGTTTCCACGTTTGTCTTCATGGCATAAGTCGCGTTTGGTTATTTACCCTTGTGCATTGTATGTTCACGTTTGTTTCCTGTTCTATTAAGTCCTCAAAATTTTAAATTTTAATCAGCTTATGTATTTAAAATTTCAATGGTATCAGTCAGTAAATGTACTATTTTTATTCAAATATAAATAAATTGTTCTCCTTTAGCATATTAGAATCAAGTAATTTTATTTCATTTACATTTTATTATTATAATTGCTATCTCTAGATTTAGTAAGTTATTATATTGAATTATTTTCCTTTCAATTATTTTATATAATGGCAAGTTTATTATTTTTCTCTCTTAAACTATATTATTGGGGATGCTACTCACTAGAGAATTATTTTGGTCTCAGATATATTAGTTGAAGTTAAACCTCCTGCCGATCACAAAGGGACTTACAACTATGTTGGGTGGATACTTATTTTGGAACCGCCTTTCTTTTTGAAGTAAGCTCTAAAGCCTATGTATTATGCTTTGGAAACATAGGTTATGGTTAGGGCCTTTAATTTGTTTTACATTCTGTCTGCTGGCTAAAAAGGGCTGAGCTTCTGATTGATTTAAACATTTTGCTTGAAATATTGTATTGTAGAATTTTTCAGGAGATGATATTTATAAGGAAAATTTTGCTGAAATTTCTAAAATATATATATATATATATATATTGAAGTTTTGATTGATAAGAAAATGGTCATGCATGTTATAAATCAATATAAACATAATTATGTTTTAGTAATGGAAAGATTTTTCAATTTAAGGCTTAAGGGATGTATGATATGGTTTATATCTCATGCTAGTCACCCTCTATTTTCGAGGCGTGGAAATAGCGTATGTGCCTCCACATCTTAATCTGTTAATATTTGTCTTTTTTACTGAATTAGTTAAAAGCAGATATAGACTTACCATTTGAGAGCTATAATTCAAATCAGCTCTGCATAAAATGAATGTTACTCGATAAAAATGACACTGTTGTTTTTATTTCTTGAAAAATAAACCTTGGTATGCCATTTATAATTAGTGCTCGAGGCTTATTTATGTTATACATGGTTGTTTTATCTATCTTCTTGTCTTTTCCTTCTAATGTGCATTTGCTTATAGAAATCATGAGTAACGGCAAATCAAAAGCTACATGAGATACGAAAGCAACTGAGATTTTTATCAAAGAATGCTTGGATCAAGTTTACAATGGAGAACGTAAAGGAACCACCCTTACAAAGATGGGGTGGAAAGCTGTTATTTCTGGATTCAATGAGAAAACGGGCAGAAAATATGACAAAGGACAATTCAAAAACAAGTGGTACAACCTTAGGAAAGACCGGACAACATGGGATAAATTATTTTCCAAAGGGACTGGTTTAGGGTGGGATAGTGCAAAGAGCATGGTAGACACACCAGATGAAGATGATTGGTGGGAGAAAAAGCAATTGGTATGAAGTAGTTCATGTGAAGTTATTGGGATTATCTTTCTCGTGTGATATTTCATATTGATTACTTGTAAAAATGCTGGAAAATCCCCAATATGCAAAACTCAGATATAAAGCACTTCTGTTTGTTCTAGAATTGACAATTTTATTCAAGGATCTGGTAACCTCTAATACTGTGGATGATGAGAATGATGTGTACTGTACATCCATTGACAGTGATTGTGTAGACCTAGAGGAAGGATCATGGGATAGTGAAGACGATCTTCAAGGTGCTCCAGCCGGACCAGTTAGCGATGACTTGCGAAATATGAATTTAATTACTTCACATGGGACTCTAAGTGAAAGAAACACCAGTAAGAGGAAAAGAGTGGGATATTCTGAATCTGAAAGGAAGAAAAAGCAAAAAGTCACGGCTTCAAAAAAGATAGCTGATGCAGAAAATAGAATAGATGCAACTAATAAGGCTAGAGGAACTGCTGTAAACACCTCCATAGTACCTGGAACATCTATTGCTGAAGTGATGGCTGAAATTCTGACCATGGAGGCTGTTATGAGTGATCTTGATTTGTTCGCACGATGTTGTCATCTGACAATGTTCGAGCCTGTTGAAAGGATATGAGAATAAATTCAGTTTGTTGAAATGGTTGAAGAATGCAGCTTACAACCCATTGCCATTTGAACATAGCACTTGACTAGTACATTATTTGATCATTGTATTTTACTAGAATTTGAATTTACGCTTTCAAAGTAGTCATATTAGAGTCGGAATGCTTATATTTGACTGCCAGTTTTGATGCTTGAATTTACTTGTAGTGTTTGATCATTTGCAGTTGAATTTCATCACACTCACAGGTTTAAATAATTCATGGCAGATTGGAATGTGAAGAATTCAGATGAAGAATCTGTCTTAACTCTCCATTTTACATTATGGTATTAAAAATATTAGGCAGCACATTATCTCGTGTGTAGGTAAAGAGCCATGTAAACCATGTCGAACCAATTTAGTTCACAATTAATTGAATATATGTTTTTCCCCCCATTTGAAACGTCTCATAACAAGTAGGATCTCGATCATTACAAAATTTCTTTTTGCACCTACACGACAAAATTTCTTAAAAGAAAAATGGTTGCTGTGTATTTAAACATAGTTGGATATAAAGTGGGCAATAGAATGATATAAGAATGATTTTAATACTAATGAAAAATTGTGAGTTTCATGCCTTCGTGAAATTCATAAAAATTTGAAATGATAAGTAATAGTGGCCATTTTTCAAGAATGTCATATGAGCAAATTGAGGGTTCTCATATACCATATGTGATTAGTCATAGTAATCAATCCGAATATTTAGGAAAAAAAAAGGACATCTAATACTGAACGTCATCATAATTATATGGTATGAGAATGAGAAGGCATGGCTGTGCATTTGAGAATGTTCTCACAACTCATTGGTCTCTGAGTTTCCCTCATCGACCTCTTTGGTATGTTTAATGTAGTTACGATGGACTTAATTTAGGGATAATCAAACTTTTAATCCTTTAAATTTGTCTTAGCTATCAAGTTAGTTTATTAAGTTTGCATTAGTTATTGATTTGGTTCTTATTACTTTTAATCTTACAACAGCATTGTTAAAATTTGCAAACATGAATAATGAAATCTTGATAGCATTCATATATATATATATATATATATATTAGATTAATTTGAAAATAAACTTGAGGACTAACATGATAATTTGAGAAAACGCAAAGAACCAAATCAATAAAAATTAAACTCGAAAGACCAAATCAATAACTGATCCAAACTTGAGAGATTAAAACTTTCATTATCCCTTATATTTACATGGAAATCACAACAGCAATGACAATAATCTCATTATTTATTAGATAAATATTATTTGGTGGATGTGCTTCATATGTAATCTAACACTAATTGAATAGGTAGGCCCATATAAATGAAAATATATTGTTCTTCACAAGTTAAATGTTGTGTTTGAATAACAAAACTAGGCATGCTAGAGATACGAGTCTCAAAAATAATTATAAGGTTATCAAGCTTTCTTATCTCAATTCATCTAAATGTGAAGATGCAAAGAGAATGAAAAAAGTATTTTTGATTAATAGAAAAATAAAATATTAAGCTTCAATGATTACAAACTTGGAAACTAAAAATAAATCTAAACCTAAATTAAGAATAACTCAAAAAAGCTATGAACTTTTGATGTACTATATTTTTTAACAATGCTAATGATGCCCTTGTTGTTAGTTTGAGTTCCATTTATAAGTGTTCGTCTAAGACCGTCGTCCTAAATAATCCAAAACCCATGTGCAAAATATCCTTGATCACTCAGCACAGCCCTGCAAGATTAGCAGCACATCAGGTAATGCTTTTGTATCTTTTTAATGTTCTCCTACATCTAGTCATTTCAAGTTTTAAGGGTTACATTATGTATGTGGCACAACTTCTTTTGATTACGGATCGAACTTTTGTTGTTACTTGGGCCTATTGTTTCAATTTTACTTCCTCTCTACAATTTTGGGTTGATGCCTCGACATTAGACCCAAATACATTCTCTTCTAAATTTTAGTTGTTCATTTGAATTTGCAAACTACAACTAAGTATTCAATTATTATTGTTTAAGTTTAAAATAAGCTATGCATCATGAAGATCAAGGTATATTTGCACTTGAGGATGATAATCATTTGGTGATGAGAACTTGAATTTAACCATGGATTCTCCAAAAAAATAATGGAGTGTGTACAAGAGTGGAGCAAAAATCAAATTACAAATAAAGCATGTGCCAGACAATAATGTAACGCAATCAAAATTTTTGATTATATTTTTAACGATGAATTCATATAAATATCTAATTCTCACACATACATACATACATATACATATATATATATATATATATATTAAAATAGGTCAACTTTTACATCATATTCAATATTGTTAGTCATGTAATATTATATTATAAAACTCATAAACGTGCTTTTAATTAAAATATCCAAACGTGTTTCATTTTTTCAAAATATTCTTAAAATAAAAATATCTAAATAAAAATTAGATTATATAATTAAAGGTTGAATTATTTTGAGTTAAGAAATTTTCAAGAATGAGTTGTTTTAAATTAAAATTTAGAAATTCGATTGATAATTGAGGATAAATTAGAAACAAAAAACGAGTAGAAAAAATATGAACTGAAAAAAAAATGTTGCCGCCAATAAAAACGGAGGTAAAAGAAAAAAAAAACGGTGAGAGAACGAAAAGCAGAAAAGAACTGGGCGGGAAAAATGAGAAAATAATTTGAAAAAACAACAAAAAAAAAAAACAAAAAATCGTATTTCCTAAATTCAAACTTAATCCATTTCTGCAACGAACTCAAGCGCAGCAACAGAGGAAGCTGTAAGGTACGATCATCTCTCTGTTTCTCTTTCAATTCGGACTTATCCTCCTTTTCCCAAACTCAGTAAATTTTGTTTCAAGATTCAATCAGATCGCCTTATTGATTTGATTCGTAAAGACCAAACAAGTCGAGTGAGATGCATACTTCGCTATGACACAAACAATTTTGGTTGAGTCGTCGTAAAGATCATCATCTCATTTTTTATCGATTTCTTTTTGCCCCAAGCACCGGGAATGCCTGCTGGTTTTTTATTTTTATTTTTTAAATTTTTGTCGGTTTCTGGATCGTCTGTGTTCAGAACTCAAGGTTTTAGGTATTGCCTAGTTCGGACTTGATATTATGATTCCATGTCAATTAGACTATGAAATAAGTTGGGGGATAAATTTGAAATCATTTTAGACTTGTTATAATTCTTTGTCGCATTAGAGATCTCTAGAAGAAGAAGCTAGCAATTGGTTGACAAAGAAAAAGAGAATAGGGATGGATAATTCTGAGAATAACTTCAAACAACAAGAGCTCTTTACTTTAGAATGGAAAAAAAAAAAAAAAAAAAAACTCGGTGTCTAAATCAGTACTAATACAAATAGATTGAATTGGTATTTGTTTTGACTAAATTTTGATCTTCTAGAGTTTAGAGAACCGTTCTTTAATGACATAGGGAGATGTAGAAACACAAATTTGGATCTTACTATCAAGTAAAATCCTCTAATTTCATCACATTTATTTTTACTTCATTTCATAATATAATATCCTATGCACATAATATTAATATTCTGATTTCTGATGCGCTTTTTTTTTTTTTTTTTTTGAGGCTATAGTTGAAAAGCAATTATATCCGTCCTCCACAATGTCATCCTCATCATCAAAGAAAATGAGCTTAAAGCTTCTGATTGACACAACTGCTGAGAGAGTTCTCTTTGCTGAAGCATCCAAGGAATTCATAGACTTCCTCTTCAACATGTATCGCTTGCCTATCGGTACAGTCACAAGGCTCCTGACCAGGAAAGGCATGGTGGGTTCATTAGGCAAACTCTATAAAAGCATTGAGAATCTCAACGATGATTACATGCTAAATCCACACACAGATAGGGACCTTTTGTTGAAGCCAATTGCTCCTGTTTCTGGATATCTGCTGCCAGCAAATGATGGCCTTGATGATAGCAAACTAACGCCTCCAAGCTTGTACATGTGCCCAGACCGCTGCAAGAATTATGTGACGAACTTTTTGGGAACTTTATGTCCATATTGCAACAGTAAAATGGAACTTCCTTTGCAATTTGTTACGAAGAATGCTACGGAAGTCACGGATTCTTCTAGTGAAGGTGGATTTGTGAAAGGAGTTGTTACTTACAATTTTTGGTGATGGATGATCTTGAGGTTCAGCCTATGTCTACCATTTCTTGCTTTACCTTACTGAACAAATTTAACGTCAAAGATGTTAGTGCCTTGCAAGAAAGGACCGTTGAGCTAGGCATTGAAGAGGTAAGTCGTGTATTACTATTTCTGTTTGAAAATATTTGCCATATAAGATTATGTGCACAGCTCAATAAGTTATTAAATAGTATAAATAATAGAGATGATATGATATTTGAGGTCATTAATATAGCTGTCTTGAAAATAATTGTTTTACTCTTAATCTGTCATTGATAATTAATTATGTTGTTTTAATAGTGATTTTTCTCTGTCATTTTTTTTTTTTTCAATTTACTAGGGTATCAAACTGCTTAAGGCCTCACTCCAGAGCAATCAAGTCTTGACAAATGCTTTTTCTAAAGAACATGGGAGACTAAAAGGGAGCAAAGAGGAATTTCTTGCAAAGCTTAAAATGTTGAGACTTGGTGTATGACGAATTGATAATTGTCCACGCATCGATTTACTTTGGTTGAAGAGACATTGCCTATTGGTGGATTTCTATGACAAATTGATAACTGTCCAAGCATAGAGTTACTTTGGTTAAAGAAACATTGCCTATTGAATATCGGTGCATTTCAATCTTCTTGCAAGATTTTATAGCCTACTTAATTACTTTCTTTCTTTTTTAGGGAAAATCACATCAGATGATCGATAATATCTAGTTTTTCTATGAAATGTAGATTGATAGATTAAAAAACAACTAATCAACCCCTACAGGAGAAAGTCCCTTTGTGACATCTTGAAAATTTAGTGTGATCGGCATGAATATATGCACAAATACATATTCCTTAAGCCTGATCAATAAAATTTTAATTTAATATTTTAATTTATTTAAAATAGAATTGGAACTCATAGTAACCTTTTTCATATAAATAAAAGATTCCTAATTTTCTATAGAGATTTTCAACAAAACTTCCTCTATAGATAGGACTTCTCAAGTCATCTACAACAACTATTTACAGACAAGTTAATAATACAAACCTTACTTCTTAACAACAGATAGTCGGTATAAATTTACACATCAACCTCATATGTATAGTTATGTGAAGCATGCAATTTATAGTCTCAAGATAAAACACATAATTGAGTGTATACATCAAAATAAAAAAAGTTTTCAAAATAAATATTCACCCAACTCAATGGCAAGCCTTTCAATAATCAGCAGAAGGTTCAACATCAACTAATAAATCTGAGAGCAAAACATTTTCAGTGAAAAGCATCAAAAAAAAAATTTAAAGAGTAAAAAATAATAAATTCAAACAATTGTGAAAAATAATTGAAAAGATTATAATTCAATATAATAAACTTAATAAACCTGTAAATCTTATAGTGAATTGAAATTGCTTTATTCTATCATGCCTGAAGAAAATAAATTACTTAAATGTAAATCAAAGTAGCATACTTATTAACTGAAATCATTAAAATTTCAAATACACCAATTAATCAAAACTTTAAAATTTTGAAGACTTAACAGAACAAGTAACAAACATTAACATATAGTACATGAGAATAAAATAACTAAACGTGACATATGCCACAATGACAAACATGGACATACAATCCAAGAGAGTAAAATAACTAAACTCGACTTATGTCACGAAGATAAACATTGACACACAGTCCACAAGAATAAGTAATCAAACGTAGCTAAAGCTACGAAAACAAACGTGAGCACACAATTCATAAGGGTAATGCTAACCAAACGTAGATCAAGACCACAAAATTAACACGAGTACAAGACCAATGAATAACGAACGTGAAAACAAAACTTACAAAAATTAAACTATCTAGTCATTGACCATGACGTGTCAAGGGCTAACGAAACTATCATTAGCAACCCAGTGTTCTACTTAAAATCCTCTAAAATTAACTTGTCAAACATGCGAGAATAGTCATTTCTGAAATACAATTTGCATTCTCAATATCAGACTCACATGAATCATTTCAAACTTCAATTTAATACTCATCACAATAAACTTTCATAAATAACGCTCCTTCTTACATTTATTTGGTAAACAAAAATTTTCAAAGTTAGTGTAATTAATATAATCAGTTTTAAAAATATAATTCATAAGAAAAATACATGTACATGTCATATCTTAATTATCCCTTATCACAATTGTATATATCATTTCACAAATAGAATAAAATAATTTAATTAACCAATGCCCAAGGCTTAACATAATTAATAATAATAATTAAAATCATCTACATAAATGTAATATTATAATAAAAAAGATTTTATTGATTGATTAATTGAGATGCTATTCACTTACCTGTAGAGTTCCCAAGTGTATAACTTACTCTTAGACTAGTCTTCTGATGACAACGCTTTACCATCCAAAATCCCTAATCCAAAACAACTTGAAAAAATAAAAGAAAGAAAACATTCACTTTTACTTTTCTCAATATTGGATCAAACATCCCAAAAATATCCCAAGAAAGAATATGTAACTAGCAATTATGTTCTCAAATTACCAACTCAAATCTCTCCCCCAAAAGTTTCTAAATCCTTCTTTTAACTTCCTTTGCAAAAAACAAATCTCTTCTATGATTGTATAATCAATAATGACATAACTCTCATATATTTTGTCAAACATCTTTGTCCCACACAAAGTCTAGACCATAAAACCAAGTTCTTTCTTTCCTTTTCAATTCCCTTTTACAAAGGTTGTCCTAATTCCATATTTGAACTAGTCAAGCTTCCAACTTCTATCCAAGAGAATTGTCAACAATTAAATTGCCATAGATATTTAGTCACCATATACCAATTTCTTCAAACTGAAATTCCATCGAACACCTCATTAGTATAATTGTTAATCTATAATTTCAACCTATTTTTCTCTTCAAATCCACCCCCATACTTTCAATATACATTTCAAAATAAAACAAAATATCATCTGAACCTATTTTCTCTCACAAGGGCTATCTGTTTGAGGCCTAATACTGATCTAAATTCTTAAAGCTTGCTAAATTAAAATTTTCCATTCTTCCCTCTACCCGCCACAGTAGCTAGAACAATTGAGGACATCAAAATCCCATCAACAAATAAAACTCAGCAATTTGCGCACAGTCAAAAGGGAAGAAAAATGGATTCAACTCACCAATTAGTTGAGGAACGAAGAGATACACACAAACCTCCTTCACAGATTGACAGCTACAGACAAGAAGAAAGAGACGCTGCTTGGATCAACAACGGTGGACTGGGTGGAGAGTTGGCCGTGCCAGCAAGGAAGAAGAAACCAAAGTCCACGGCTGAACAGAGCAGGGAAGGACTCGCGGTCTGAACGGAGGCGATGCGAAATCAAGGAGAAGGGAGCTTCGACCGTGATGCAGGGGAGGAAGAAACACACCGATGCAGAAAGGAAGAAAAGTGGGGCAAGGAGGATGATAGGCGACCCAGAGAGGAAAAAGAACTCAGCGATGGCGGACAAAGCTCCTGCACACTAACGCCGGCGAACTGAGCAGCAGAGGAAGGAGGATGGAGGAAGACGAGGTGCCTCTCTCTCCCTCTCTCCCCCATGGGTTCTGGATTTTTCGAAAAGTATCATCCATGGCAGAGGAGAAACGGACGTTTTTATCTCTTATTTGTCGGTTCTTTATTTGTTTTTTTTTAATTACAGAGGAGAAAAATGACAGTTTCACAGCAAAATAAAAACAAAAACAAAAACAAAAAATTTTCGTTCGAGCACAAGGAAGAATTTCACAGAGCGATCGACACCTCTATTATTATTATTATTATTTTCAAGGACTAACAAAATATAATAAATTTATTTTAATTTTATAAATATAATATGAATTATTACATCCTTTTTGTTTTGGCCCCTGATGTAAGGCCTTTTTAATGACAATTTCCTTCGTTCTGCGACCAAGACTCAATACCCGACGATGTAAGTGTCCGTTTAAATTTTAATTGAGGATAATAAATTATAAAATAATTAATTAAGTGATAGATTTTAATTATAATTAATTATAAAATAAAATAATTTATTTGGATACTATTTTTTAAAATTAATTTTAATAAAATTAAAGACGTTTGAATAATTTAATCAGAATTAATTTTAACTATATAAATTACTGTATAATTTAATTCTTAAATACTAAATATTAATTTTTTGAGGATATAAAATTTGAATTTTATTAAAAAAAAGAAGAGAAAAAGGTTTGGTTTTATTTTATTAAATTATGTGTTTTTTTATAATTTGTTTTGGGTCTTTTTTTGTAATTTTTTTAATATTTTTTGATGAATTTTTCTGCAAAAGCTTGGATTTGTAGCTTCGAAAAAAAAATAATTTTCACCCCAAAAATGGATTAACCAAAAAACTTGATGTTTGGGTGATTGAAGCCAAAATCAATTTTTTTCCTCAAAAAATTGATTAACATGGCTATCCAAACACACACTAAACCTAATAAGAACAGTGTTTCATATTTGACCATTTGATTCAATTAATAAAAAATTGAATCATAGATAACTTCATTTCAGTGAAGAAGAGAAACTAATCAATAATTGACATAATCAATCTAAGATAATAATTCTTCCACCAATCCAATATTTAGGGTTCCACCTCACTCATAAGGAATCACAAACATCTAATAGTTTAGCATTTACTTGCATTTTCAAAGTTTAGCTTAATTAAACTCTCACTACATTATGTAACTTGTAGCACCTTCATAACCTCATGTATCATTTGGCTAACTTCTAAGGAAATGACTTAAGTTGCATCTTAGGTTATGCTGAGGGTAAAATCTAGCTTTTGATTTTGAAAGAGAGGCGACATTGATCTTGCTAGCATATTCCTATGAATTTTGCTAAAAAATATTCTTATATGCATAAATTTCTAAAGTGATACAGAGAAAGAAGCAGCAGTAAACAAATGTCCACCAAGAACCCAAAACTTACTTATGTACCCTACAATTCTAGATTCTTAAGAATCATTATTCTGTTTGGAACAGTAATTAATAAGGGGGATAAAATCTTTTTCTTTTGTAAGAAATTAAAATTACAAAAAAGAGTATAATAAGAATTCAATTGACTTCTAACCAAGTATAGTAAAACTTTTCCT